TAAGGAATCGTTATGAGTTCGGTTTGACCTTTCATCCAGGAAAAGTAGTTTTTTTTTTTTTTATAAGCAGTCAATTTACGTTCACTTTTCTTTCTTGCGGTCTTAAACGATACTTTGTTTAATCTTGATTGTGGGCGGTATTCTCTAACCGTAAAATTACCGTTCACGTGAAATGCAGTTGTTGTAAAGTGAATTTACATGCAGAGTATGTCATCAGCATTAAAATCAACATCAATAAGAAGTTATTAACTATTAGCTTTAGAAACATTGATATTTTCAAATATTTATTTCTATCCTTATTAATGTTATGATATTTTTTGCGCCTTTGAGCGAATTGTATTTATATATTTATATAATTATAATAATATTATTATATTATATATCATACTATAATTATAACTTATCTGTATTTTTGTAATGATATATGTAATAATAATTAATTATTACATTGATTTTTATATAAATCATACAATTATTCTTTTATTTTAGAAAATATTTTTATAAAATTTTGATTATTAGATTCATTAAATGATAAAATGTTATATTAGATGATAAAAATGAAATGCCTTGTATGTAGAATATCTTCATGTAGAAAAAAACATGCGATAAATACATTAAATGTAAATTATGAATATTCAGAAACAAAAACGGAAAAAAAACGGATAAGATAACCGATTAGACTAAATCCGATTTATACAAAATACAAACGCTATTAAAAAATATAATTTTCATTTTAGAAATTTGAACAAGTAATATTTGAATACTTAATTTAAATTATTACAGATATGTATATTATATTTACTAATATCTTTTTAATTAATTTTAGAAATAATGAAAAAATACCGGTAGCCCAATGAAGAACACTGTGTCCCTCCAGATCCTTGGCGTTTACATCGGCACCATTCGCCAATAGGACAGCCACTAATTGAGTGTCACCCGCGATGACAGCCAGATGAAGAGGTGTGTGTCCTTCTGCGTCTGGTGCATTCACCAGTTCCGGTGCCGCCGCAGCGACGGCACCTCCAGTTCCAGCATCCATGCAATAATGTAAAGCGCTCCTTAGAGTGCGATCTTTATAGCCAATAGTCTCCTCTTGCTCTTTCAATAATCTTAAAACTCTTGCTCTGTCGCCCTGTTGGCAAGCATGCATCAAAGGCGTCGCGCCGATTTGAAGCACTCTGAAAGAGTGAAACAATATTTTACAAGATTCTTGAGACAAAATTTTCACTAATTTTGAAATATATATTTTATAATATTATTTTATAATTCACTAATTAAAATTTTATCACACTTTTTTCTTTTTTCCTCGACACTTTACGACAGAACTTCGATTTCACAATATACTTTATAAGAACGTGTTGTAATTTTCTAAAGCTTGCGCGTAAGAAGTGAGACCCTGTTCTAAACAATGGTTCTAAACGAATGCGTGGATCGATCGAGCAGAAAGTGTACCTGTAAGGCCTTTTTTTCTGATGATCCTGATATCGTATACTACTTGGTACATTATGCGACCACTGTGTTCCAGGGATTTTTTGTTTCTGACGATGATTTCTGTACGGTGTCAGCGGGGGCAAGGACACATCGGCCACACTTTCTTGATATCTCGGTTTTGGCTTCTCCTGGACCTTCAACGGGATCGGTGGAGTCTTAGTGTCCATGCCCGTCTCTGGCACCGGTTCACAACTGGTCTGACCTCGCGTGGAAACATCTTTCGCCCTCTCGGCGGATCGAATTCATCGCGCCGAAGAGAATGTCCGGTTCCTTTACCCGCGAACTGGGTCACCCCTTCGAAAAAGATTGAATGTAAACTTTATTCGTTGGCGTAAGTATTAATTTTAAAAGAATATGATAAATCTTTCTTGTTATCTTCTTTTTTTTCAAAAAATTTAAATATAATATAGGGTAGAATATGAAACAGAAGAAACGAGACTGAGAATATAATACTGTTAATATTTAAAGATTTTTGGTGTGTGTAGATGGTATAATTTATGAAGATTCAATGTTTTATGTTCAAAGTTTTGATTTTTACAGATTTATTTTCAATCAAGGATTTCTTTTCCTGATTTGTTTTTAGTTTATTTTAATTTAATTGAAAGTAAATGATTAAATTTCATTACAGTCAATTTGCCTTTATTTTAAAATTTGTATAAATTATTAACAAGAAAAATAAAAAAGTTTTAATCAAAATAAGAAGCAAATATTATAGAACAAAATTATAACAATAAAAGTTAAAAAAAAATCAACAATTATTTCTATTTTATTTCATATAAAACTAAAAATAAAATAAGAAATATCTATTTAACAGTTACAAATAGTGTATATCTCTAATAATAGATCGTGAATAAGAACTGATTGTGAATGAAAACTAAAATGAAAACTTTTTCAACTGTCCTCAAGCATTTTTTACTGTAATTTCACCACTGTTCATTATATGTCTGACTAAAATGGTTTTAACCACTGCGCGCCAGTAGTAAACACGGCCACTTCGTGACTCGAAATAAACACCTTAAAAAACAATTCCAATAATAATCGTTACAGAAATGTCTAGACACATCCGCAGTAATGCAGCAAATGTACTAATTCGATAATGAAGCTACGTGACAAGGGATAAAGTCATGCAAATTTATACACGTATATACATTTTTCTTTTTAATATTTCTAAAACTGCATCGATCACCATAAGCAAATTTTCAGATTTTATATTACAAGTAAAAATAGAGTATAGTTTGGATAATGATTAATTGATTGACACCGAGCCCTCATTCCCGAGAAAGAATTGATACGATTGCAGATCTCATCAGAAGTTTATCACTAAACTCGACCCGAATTTAAAGCTCGGTTACTGACCACGTGGTGGACTGACCAGGTCACTCGCTGCCATAGAAACCTAACGCCACAACACCTATCATTCTTCGAGAACTATTATGCCGAGTTTCATGGCAAGGTCGACTTATCTTTAATTTTCGTTTTTATCAGGTATCATTGTCTTTAAGATTAATGTAATCGAAACTCATGATAATTGTATTAATCAAAAATTACCAACAATTAGTTTGATAAAACATTTGATATTATTTATAAAAAACTATAAAGAAAAATTCAAATAATCTTATTTTTTACAAGATTTACAAGATTTTATTTTTTTGTGAAATTATGTAGAAATGAGGGAAGAAAAAGAAAAAAGTAATTTAATTTCTCTCATTTTATCGTATAGTAATCACATTTTTCACGTGAAATTAATATTATAATCAATATTAAAATTTAAAATTTTAATTGGTGTTTTTGTTCAATATCCAACAATGTAAATAATACTTATTTTCTTCACGATTGCATGAAACAAGAAATTCTTTCTCTCTTAATGATATAAGATTCAAAGAAGTAATGAATAAGAGATGACGAGTTTGAAAGTTTGGCGTACAGGTGAGGGAGAATATGTGCTCACGGAAAATAGAGCGATATAAATCGATTGATTTTCAAGGGAAAAGAAGTTTGATAAGAAATTAGAGGCGGACAGCTATGTGCACGCCACTAGCACAGTAGCACCAAACCAAATTATTTCTATCGGCCGTGTCGACAAGTGTCCTTGAGGCTCACCGTGAAATAAGGGAGTCTAATTTGAGTGGACTATGAAAATTACAAATTGCGATCGAATTACCGATATAGAACCTGTGATTAGAATCACAAGCTTAATAACTTAAGTCTTGTAAAATGAATCATTGAAAATCGAAACTTTAACACATAGTTTGTGATATATGAGATTTTAAATTTCTTAACTTCGTTTTTTAACATTCTCTCTTATTTATTTTTGTCAAATTATTTCTAGTTATGACAGATTTGTTCTTTCACATTTGATCAAATTGAAATCTGTTGAAATGTAGAAAATTGTTCCATAATGTATGCATCATCGAAACAATTTTCTTTGTACCTGTGAACGGTGTTACCGTTCTTAAACAGCAGTGTCTACGTTCTTAGGCTGTTTCCCGTCACGTGTCACGCTATCGTGGAACTAGCCAGTTTATAATGTGTATAACAGTATGGAAAAATCGATAGAGGTTTTCAAATCGTTTTAAAGATCTATCTTTTCTGAAAATTATGCACCAATTCTAATGCGATTCAATTTGAATTAATCCGATAATTCAAGGCTAAGTATTTATGAGAAAACTTTTCTTGATATATTTGAAAAGATACCATAGGATATCATATTACATTATAATGTATTCTTTATGGCACGTCGACTGTAAGAATTTGTAACTTGGAATAATTATTGTCACGATTTTTTACTCTCCTGAATATTCAACACTGAATAAATCGCAATATACTAATTTTCAAAATAAAGAAAAAGATGACAAAAACGTATTTCTATTTAAATTGATCTAATAATTATTATAAAGAAATTATAAAGAAAACTTTTTTTAAATATTTCTGAAAATAAAAAGCACATTGATAACGCTTTAGTCGTAGCATATTGAATTTTTTAATTAAATTGTAACGATAATAATAATTGTTCATGACAGAATAGAATAATTTCTTCGCTTTTCACAACACGATTCATTCTCTTATCTATAAAAAGTAAATCGCCACAAAGCATCATCTTACCGGAAGCATAGCTATCATCGTTACAAATGTAGGAAGTAGATATAAGAAACATGACATTCTTACAACGATAATAGCTGAGATTTGAAAGAAAGTGCATTCTAAATTAAATTTCAAGAATGTTTCTATTCATACATCAATGTGATGATGATGATTTAAGTGATGATGAAGTGGCGAACATTTGATGATATCTATGCAGAATGCACACGTACAACGAACCCACGTGCACGTGTTGCTGTAACGCGGCGATGACTGAAAATCGTTATTTTGTTGATTCACCGTACTGTACGTCGATCGTTATTGCTCCGTTAATAATTCGCGGAGGCCTTCGTTCCTTCGTGATGGCGCGTCGTTAATATTTAATGATAACATCTCCGGTTTCACGTGAGATTACGTGTGCTGCGCAGTAACAATGCGTTTGATTTGTTATATGTTATTTATTGATGATCGAGTCGATCATTCGGGATCGTCGATCAGAAGCAGAGCGTGAAAGGAATCGCAGTGATTCGAATAACTATAAAAATTAAGTTGAAATAAGAAAGGAAAGTCCATGATCGAATTATCTTTTGATGATACTGATCGTTCCCTTCATTGTGTGCATCATATATTCATGCTCATTTAAGAAAATTTAATGAAAGCGAGTTACTAGACAGTGAATAGTATTAGCGTGTTTAAAGTAAATCGAATAGCTCTTCTTGAGATAAGCGTCGTATCGTAAGCGTGTTTCATTGATGAATATGTATGTTATTCAAGTTTTGGTTAACATGTATTGCGATTTGAAGGAAAATCTGATTATTTTTAATTTATATAATTAATGAAATATTATTTTTGAAAAAAATATTTGAAAAAATTGAGATATTTTTTCGTATAATATATGATTTGATGAATGAAATTAAAAATGCATGATTTAAATATAATTATATATTATAATTATTAGGATATAATTATAATTAAATAATTTTTTTTGTATTCATTTTTTAATATAAATTCTTATTTTACATTAAATATTATTTATATAATTTTATAATGTTATTTTATATTGTTAAAAAATACATATTTATTAAACAGCAAACAGTCTCTTAATTAATAATTATATCTGTTAATATAATAACAACTGTTTCATTACAAATTATATTTATTGTCTTTACTCTTAATAATATTATAATATATACTCTTAATATATTTCTTAATATATAAGAAAAAATATTTCCACAATGAGTATGAGAAAATTTATAAAATTATCTTATTAAAATAATATATTAAAACAAGAAAGGAGACAATCGTGTTTAATGCAAACATTACACGTGTTTCATAAGCTTTAATTATTTGAATTCGATACATAGTGCTGAAAAAGTGTATAACATGGAAAAATGTTATTTGATTTGAAGCTTACTTTCTGACAAATTGTGTTGCTAGTTTTTGAATATCTTCCATCGCGAGATATATTCTTGAAATATATATTTATTACTAATCTTGTACACGAGGTTTATATTTACGTGTAAAAAATTATGAAGCGCACCACACGAGGGTGGGACGCGCACTGACATCTCTTTGATGCCGCAACTAGTTAATGTAAGTGTTGCCTAGTTACCATTTTCTCAGTAACGTATCAACAGAAGTAGAAATATTTATTTTTTCACAAGTAAATCTTAGTATTTTTGAATTTTAGTATATTTTTCTTATTTTAATTTTTGATAACATTTTTAACGATGGAAATTATATAAATATAATATAAATATAATATAAATAAAATATAAAGTAAAAACAAAAATTAAAAATGAAAATATAATAACAATTAATTTTTAATAAAATCATAAATAATGCAATTTGAAATTATAAAAAAAAATAGTATGGAATAAGATAGTATAATAAAAACAATTAATATAATTGTAAATAAATATCTTTTATAATTTATATTATTATGTTAACATGATATAAAGGACTTCATATTATATATTATA